AGATTGGTGGTGAAAGGATATTCTCAGAAAGAAGGAATAGACTTCAATAAGATATTTTCTCTGGTGGTATGACTTACGACAATCAGAGAAGTCTTGGCAATGTGTGCTATATTTGATCTTCACTTGGAGCAGTTAGACGTGAAAACTGTATTTCTTCATGGAGAACTTGAAGAAGAAATTTATATGCTCCAACCAGAAGGTTTTGTTAAAACAAGTAAGGAGAACTTGGTTTGCAGGTTGAACAAATCTCTATACGGTCTCAAACAGGCGCCGAGGTGTTGGTATAAGAGATTTGATTCCTTCATAATTAGCCTTGGGTACAACAGACTCAGTTCAGACCATTGTACGTATTACAAGAGGTTTGAAGAAGATTTCATCATTTTGTTGTTGTACGTGGATGACATGTTGGTGATAGGCCCCAACAAAGATCGAGTCCAAGAATTGAAGGCACAGTTGGCTAGGGAATTTGATATGAAGGACTTGGGACCAGCAAACAAGATTCTAGGGATGCAAATTTACCGAGACAGAAGTAAGAGGAAGATTTGGCTTTCTCAGAAGAATTATTTAAAGAAGATCTTGCGACGCTTCAACATGCAAGATTGTAAGCCAATTTCCACCCCACTTCCTATTAACTTCAAATTATCCTCAAGTATGTCTCCTAGCAATGAAGCAGAGAGGATGGAGATGTCTCGAGTACCGTATGCATCAGCAGTGGGAAGTTTAATGTTTGCCATGATATGTACAAGACCAGACATTGCACAAGCAGTGGGAGCAGTTAGTCGATACATGGCAAATCCTGGTAGAGAGCATTGGAATACTATTAAGAGGATCTTGAGATACATCAAGGGTACCTCAGATGCTGCATTATGTTATGGAGGATCAAAATTTATTATCAGAGATTATGTTGATTCAAATTTTGCTAGTGACCTTGAAAAAAGAAAGTCAACTACAGGCTATGTGTTCATAATTACAGGGGGAGCTGTGAGTTGGGTCTCTAAACTACAAATTGTTGTAGTGTTATCCACAACAGAAGTCCAACCACTTAAGTCAACAATGGTGGGAGAAGGTGAAGCCATCCTTTTACACCATAGTAAAAAATTGTAGGCACCAAATTGGTGCTACTTGTCCTACCCCTTGTCTTTTGCATAGATGCTTGCCTATAAATAGGCAATGCATTCAAGCATTATAGACACACCACAAGAGAGAAACTTGAGAGCAAGTAGAGAGAAAGAAGAGAGGGTGAGGAGAGAGTAATCCCACAAAATTATGAGGTATTTATGAGATAGTAAGTGAGGTGTTTTTCTTCTAGTAATAGAGAGATTTCGGTTGTTCTTCTATTATTAGAGAAAAGTTGTATTTTCACATTACTTAGTAAAATTCTTCTATACTTGCCTATGGACGTAGCCCAATTAGATAAACCACGTAAATTCTTGTATGTTTTATTTTTCATTTTATCTTGTCCCTTATTTTTTGTCTTGTCGGGTTTGCATGTTAGTATCCTAACATAAAAACCTTGATTCTTTTGCAATATTGAGGGCGTCTCTCCTTTTATCTTGGTTTCCTTAAGATTAGTGTGTCTCTCTCGATTCGGAAATCTTGTTATGGTTCAACAACAATAGTTTATGCAAAAGACTACAGGGCACCCAAAACAAAGATGATAAAACAAAACTTGAATAGCCAGCGTTGTGTGGTTCTTTCATCGACGAAGAGGGCAAACTGACCTATCCTCGTTACGCTCTACAATTTCACAGAAACCTGTAGCAGCCGCATGCATATGTAGAAACATTGGTGAGTTTGTGGCATATGCTAATTCAAACTGCTTCTCAAAATACTTGTTTGCCATTATGGATAAATAAGGTGCCAATTTGTAATAGGAGTGGATGAAAATGGTAGCGAGCAAAGAACTCCACAAGGAACATTTCTGTCAGAAATGGCTTACTTCTTTTGAATAATCTGATGGGCAAAAGTGAAGCCTGTCATGATCATTTTATTAGTTTCTGAGATAAACTCTTAAAAGCCAACCATCTCATGGATAATTCTAAAATTGGCCTAAAACGAATATACAACTCTTTCACTCCATGAACATAAGACTAAACTTCATTCCTGATTCAATGCTGTGTCAGTCAGTATTTAAGCGAAGCTGAAGTTTACTTTATATGGGGTGGAGCCTAGAATGTTTAATTAATGATCATTTGATTGATTTATTCTGTGCAAGTTTACAAGATTCTGCAAAAACTAATCAGACCATGCTACATGATTCACCAACATTACAAGGAACATAATTAATTAGCATAAACTTGAAACTTAAGAAACATAAAACAGAAGTCCTATGATTATCCTCTCACCAACATTATAACTACTGCTATGTGTATCTTGACTATTAATTTCCAATTGTTCCATCAACACAGGAAAAGAGTGATTGTCTAAACAAAAGCACAGAAAAAAAGGGGTTTATATTTCTAACTAGGAATATGATGCCCTCCGACACTACTAACAACTGCCTGCTGGTACACTGGTACTGGATGCATGCTGTCCGTCCACAACCTCAAGCAGTTTGTTGGCTATTCCACTAGCATAAACACATGATCCTTCGTTTATCTGCAACATCAAGAGTACATGTCTTAATTAATGTCCATCGAAACCCACCATTTTAGTTAATTATGTGCATAACATAAGGAATTAATTAATCAAAGCTGCTAGCTGATACATGGTAAAAACTGACCTTAGTGTTGAACAGAAAGCTGTAGTAATCCCCAATAAGGCCACCAGCAGCATGGTGGAGATCAAGCTGAAGCTCATCAAGGACTTTGGAAACAGATAACAAGCAATTAACCTTCTTTCTCTGAACAAGTTTAATTGTAACTTCATCTTCGATTAGGCGAACATCTACCTCGGTATGCTTGGATTTCCTCTGAAGCCAAGAACTCCTTAATGAACCATTATTGTACCTTGACTGATCTTGTTCAACCTTCGTGTTAGAATTCTCAAGAACGTCTACCCCACCATCTTCTTCAGTCTTGCGCCTTTTGATTCTCTCTCTGCCGTTTCTCCTCTTCTCCACTAGTAATTTCAGCTCCTCAACCGTCCGAAGAAGTTCTTTGATATAGTTAATTGCATCTCCAACCACAGATGCCCTATCATTCTACCCCACCAAATAATGTATAATTAGTATCCAAGTATATGAAACCAAATAATTCTGATTATATATAGTAATCAGGCAAATATGATGATAGAGTTGATCAGGTGATATTTATTAAGCAGTACCTTGGAAGGATTTGGAACCAAGTTCCTCAAGGCAGTATACTTTCCATTCAAATGCTCTCTCCTTTGGCGTTCTGTTGCAAAATGCTTAGTAACTTTGCCAGATTTCCTGATTCCCTTGCCAATACACGCCATTTCTGCAGTAAACTCAAAAACCCCATCTCCATGACCCCCATCTTGGTAACTTAGACCTCCTCCACTTAGTCCATCCACGTGATCACCCCCTTGGCCACCGCCAAACAAGGGTGCAGGCAAACCATAGCCATGTGGTGGTAAAGAATGAACCAATTCCCTAAACTGTGGAGCAAGTGGGTTTGAGTCGAAAAGCACAGATGTACTGTCCACCCCCATAAAGCCCGATGGAGTCTTATTGGCAGGGTTTGTAAAGGAAATTGATGAATTAGGAAGCATAGTAGATGTTGATGTGCATCTGGGCAAGTTGAAAAGATTAAGAAGGTCAGGTGGCAAGGAGGATGGTGTATTAGCAGTAGCATTAAAGTTGCCATTTTGATCAAGTACTTGGTGCATCTCTTGGAATTGAATGGTATTGGGATCCCAATTTGAGGGGTGGTCATATGACAGGACTTGATGATGATTTGTAGGGTACTGTTCCATTAAATGGTGGCAGTTGTTGTTAAAAGCCATGTGATGTTGAAGTTGAATTTCTTCCATAGAGGCAGCAGCAGCAGCAGATTCTTCTTGGTGGTAATGATTAGAGAGCTCTTCCATGGAGAGCTTGAGACTTTCTTCAAAGCTGCTTGTGGTACTGCTACCTGTCATGAATGGTGAAACTTGACAAAACCCATCATCATTCCCACCTTCTACTATGGAGTTGTTGGTTTCAAAGCAGGCTGTCTCTTCATACATGTTTAGGATGATCAATCTACCTTGGTGCCCTTTTATCTCCTGCAATATTAGCTAGAAACCAATAATTAGACACCCAAAAAGGAAAGCAAGAAATGAAATGAAATTTATGAGTTCATGATTAAAAACAAAAAAAAAAAAAAACTTCCACTTAGGGAGGCAATGCACAAGTGAGATTTCAAGCTAGAGTTGGACATCTACTAGCTGCAGCATCAGATAAAGTGGTGACCATCTTTGATGTCGAAACTGATAGGCAGATTCACTCATTCCAGGTATCGCTCATAAAGAAATATGCTATAGTTTGTAATTTAAATGTCTGCGCATTATTTTTCAAAAATAATTTCATTGTTCAAGTACATAATTATCCACTCCTCTTATTTCCAGGGGCATTCTGAAATGGTAAACTACATATGCTGGGATTCAACTGGAGATATTTTGGCTTCGGTTAGTCAGAACTTGGTGAAGATTTGGTCGATGGCCTCAAGGGAGTGCATTCAAGAGCTCAGTTCCAATGGGAACCGGTTTCATTCTTGTGTTTTCCATCCAAGTTACTCCACTCTCTTGGTTATTGGAGGAATCTCAGTAAGTCGCATTCCTTTATAGAATCATACTACAGACAATAATGGATGAACCTTTCTGATGACTGGCTGTTGATTTTATTGTAGATATCACCTGTCATTCCATGGTTAAGACATTGGTTCATGGTAGTAGTGATTTTAGTACACAAATAGATGGTGACAATTCTTGTTGATATTTCCGCTTCACACCAGCAAGGCTAATTTCAGGCCTTCTCTAAATGTTTCAGGAATGAGCCTGTAGTCCTTCCTCCTAACATGACATCTGAAACCAGTCCAGTGCTGAATATCTTTATAGCTAGGGTTTTCCTTGTTCATGAGATCAAACTTTATTTTTTCCAGCATCAGTATCTTTGCTACAATATCACTCACATTCCAAGCATAGCAATGAATTCAGCTTTTCTTGCTCCTATCTTTGCCAGATTTCTTGACATACTGAAATTGTTTTTTCAAATGTGGCTGCAGTCATTGGAGCTATGGAACATGGCCGAGAATAAGAGCATGACAATCCCGGGGCACGAGAACATAATCGCAGCCCTGGCACAGTCACCCGTCACTGGGATGGTTGCTTCTGCAAGCCATGACAGCACTGTCAAGTTATGGAAATAAATCCAGAATGTGGCCGCATGGTGATCAGTCGGTGCTGCTCTCACTTACATGTAGATCCTAAAGCTAGCAGTCACATGGTGGTTAGATCACTTGTATAATTTTTTTCTTTTCAACTGCTACACAGCATATAAGTGTTGCTTATAGGATGGTTTTTTTCATCGTTAAAAGTAATAGAGCACGAAGCAAGTAATTAAGCTAGTAAACCTAAGAAAATAGTTCTAGGAAAAAAAAATCCCGAGAAATGTTTTATTCATAGCTTAATGAATACATAAATAGGTAGCGCCTGAATATAAATGAAGGTTCTCGAGTTGTCAGCCAGGAATATAAAAAAAAAAGGCAAGTTGCTATAAGCAAAATAATATACGTAAAGTGTTTATTTATTATTATTTTTTATCTTAAGATAGCGGTTCGTTATTATACCAGTGAGAGAAGATTCTTAGGTTTTCTCAGCCAAATAAAAAATGCAAGTTGCTAGAAGCAAAATAATATACGTAAAGTATTTATTTATTTATTATTATTATTATTTTAAAATTCATGCTTCTGCACTGTCGTGTTTGTCGTATATTATGGTATTTACTGTTTTTAAAATATATTAAAATATTTTTTTTTTATTTTTAATATTATCACATTAAAATAACTAAAATATTTTAAAAATCATTTTAGATTATAAAAACAATCACTACCGAAGACCAT